GTTCTCATGCTGTTGTTGCAGATGATGATTAAAACATAATTATACTGTTAAGTGGATGCTGCTAGTGTTGCATATGATGATCAATAAGATATGATCATGCTGATTTGTTGGAGTATATTTCATCACCGTGATTATTATTATGGTAACTGAGAATAGTGGTTCATTCGAGGATAACAGTCATGATGATGATAAATGGATGCTTATGATGATAAAAAAGGAGATGATGTTGATGCTACCATTGCTACTGTGAATGCTGATTTTCCATCAGCTACTAATGTTGATGAAGATAACACAGCAGAGGTGGAAAGCTATACTGAGTCATAATAATAATTTGAAGAGTGTTTTGCTTGTGAGAGGAAACTTCAGTAGCGAGAGATGAATCATATGTTCACATAGTTTGAAGAACCTATAGCTCTACCGTCTTCTCCTGGCCATCTCGCAGCCGAGCGGATTGCGGATTTTTTGTATAAATCTCCATGTGATCCATCAACCCATGCCTCACGAGGAATTATATGTGTCATACACACATTGTACCAGGCACCATTTAAGACTGAGTTGACCTAGGAGAGGCTCGGTACAGATTATCAAGTTATGTACATCCCGTCACTCACGCGTGCTCCGGGCTGGTAATCAAAATCAAGTCAACGCAATTTGGAGCGCAGTGCACGCACCGCCACATTTCGCACAAGACGTACACAAACACCCACGTACATTAATGCATTTACATGCACAGGAGGCACACGGATAAACATAAACAAAATACATAGACATGTTCACGATTGCAACCATACACACAAACAACAATTCCCTGTGTAGCCTTATAGACTATTGATGTGAGTCTCGGTGTAGTGGAGCGAGTGGGGGGGGGGGGGGTCAGGAGGGTTCAATTTGCATGACAAATGTCACTGGAGATCGTTCCCAGGCCCCTACCTTCATCAGCCCACGCTGAGTAGCATAACTGAAAAAGCATTAGAAGATTTTCCTCCAACAGTGGGTTGGCAATGGGCTTTACATCTTCATTACATGTGTTTTATTACCAAAAGCCTGTGGATTACCTGGTAATGTGGACATTGCTGTTGTCCAGGCATGCGGTTTATATTAAGCTTCATCATTGTCTAATATATCTTTCGTTTTGAACTTCAGCGTAGTGATTTGGGCCGGAAAATTGACATCTGGATTAAGCAGCATACATGGTATGGCATTTCCGTATCAAGCGGGAATTTCACAAATTATGTGCAGCAACAATCTTTATAGGAATCAGTACCCCGATTTTTGTTGGTAGTTAACTTAACCCAATATTCACTTTGGGTAAATAACATGAAAATGTATTTACCCAGGAAAAGCTACACTGAGTCCAAATGCTCTGTTTGTCAGAAAGGTCGTGCGATGGCAAACCAGCATCGGTTACATTAAACGTGTGTTTAGTTCTGGGATCTAATTGGAGAACCCGCAGGGAACCCATGCAGAACTTGAAGGAGATAACATACACACTCCGCACATAATCGGTACCGTTTTGTGGCAAGCCGTCAGTGATCAGTAGTGTGTATTAGAGAGTCCATAAATGGCCATTGGCAGTGTGAAATTTTCACCACTTGCTCAGGGCTACGAAGAGAGATTAGAACGACTGCATTGCTTGAGCAGGGATACACTTTGAGTTGTTTGAATGACTTATGATTGCATTAGTTCTCTGAATGCATTAGGCTCTTTTTTTCGTAAACACTTACATGTTATAAAGATTATGATATGATTAGTGTATTTTTGGGCTATGTAGTGTTGGTATAATGTACATATTTCGCTGTGATAGTCCACCACCAAGCAATGCTTCGATTGCATTTCAGTATTCTGGTTTGCTGAAAAACCAAATACATTTTCATCCTTGAGTACGTGGCAGCTTTGCAACAGATCCAAAGCGGTGTTATTCCAGACTGCGCATCCGTGACTGGACTCAAAAGAGTGCACGAGAACAAATGTTTAGGCTTTCTTGCTAATTGGAATGTTAGTCCACGTGTCATCTTGATTTTATTGGCTCTGTCGGATGGTTGTGGGTTATATTTAAACATTAACTTTTTACCTACGTAATCTAACCCAAAACAAAGTAATTATGATGAGTAATATTCGTTGTGAAAGCCGACGTATACAATTAAGATGATGCCACCGTGCAGTAATATATAACCTTCATTAATACTAAATATTAATATATGTATTCACCTAATAAGTAATGCACCCTTATAATGGCTCGCCATGTTATGGTACCATAGTATTATTATTATTAAGAAAGCCTCACAGAATGTCATGATGCAGCTCCCGGAGGGTCCTGCACGTTGTTTAACAAATTTCTCAGTGAGCATTATGCACGTGCAAAGGCAACCGGATTTCTCATTAAACATTGAGGCAAGGCGCTAATGCTAAAACATGATTACAGAGAGGTTAGAAACCTCTCTGGTTTTATTGCGATATCTTGGCCACCTCACAGATCAGCAGGGTGGAAGTGTCACTCACTCACATGCTCCTCTTCGCATGTTAATAATCACACCTTTTTCTCTCTCATGATTACTCTAATTTCTCCATTTCTACTCGTAATTATATGGTCAGTGCTCATATCAAATGCCTTATATTATGCAATGCTTTATGATTTGCGCACCCATTACACTCAAGTGCAAGAAATTGAATTCAACCACGAGCCCTACTCATGCATTCTAATAATCTGGCCTCAGAATGAAAAAAAAAACAGTGTAATTTTTCAAGCCCTGACTTAAAACTAGACATATAACAAGACGTGCATGACTAAAGTTGTAATAAAATGGAAGCTAGGTCCGTAATGTTGGAATACATTTGAAACATTGTCTTACACTCATGCCAGCCAGAGGAGATAGTCAGCCTTCCAACTACCAGGGAACAAATGCCTCCAACGTCTGACATTAAAGAAAGTATTGGAGGTCGCCGGGTGGCTCAGAGATACCACTGAGATCCTGGGTTTGAATCCAGGCAAATGCTTGTGATTAAACCGGATTCTCAAGTGCTTTGAGTTGATGGTCTCAGCGAGGTCACCAATGACTGCACGAAAAAATATATCAATAGGAAGTTTGATTCTTAAATTTGGCTACATGCTGGCTCTGTAAATTATATTACCGAGTAAATTGTCATGCACATAATATTACTCTCACATGTTTCCAACACGTAAGAGCTGGTGGAAAAATGATTTCCTCGACTGTGTGAATAAGAGGTCACTTACAGGGATCTCAGATGGAGCCATGTGATATCTGCCTATGTGGGCTGTGAGCTTACATGCAGATTTGCACTGTTTTGTGAGATATTTAAATGAATACTTTGACTTGTGACACGACGGCTAAATACCGATTGGGATGAAATTCGACAGTGCAAAGGATTATAATTTTTAGGTGAGATGATGCATTCTGCATTCATCGAATGCATGCCGACATAAACACACAGCACGGGTCTTACCTCCATCCTCCGTGAGCTCTCATTGCGCCGCCACGCATCAATTTCACACCACAGGCTGGCCACTAGCACAAATAACCCATGGAAGAGGCCTGTTATGGTACTGTGCAGAATAGGTGACGAGAATTGGCACCGAATGCACGGGACTTGTTCTTCATTCCACAGGGAACAGGCTTCTCTGCAGGGGTCCTTTTCCGATTTCCCCACATTGCTGTCTGCTAAGTGGCTGTGTGTAGTAGCGGGCTGTGTTCTGAGTGCTTGTGTGTGTTGGTAGCCTGAACGGTGAGTGGCTGTGTGTGTGTTTGCGGGAGTGGTAGTGTAGCTATTAGCGCTGCGCTACAAACCTGGCTTCCCGAGTTCGATTCACGCTCACAGCCGACACCAGTGACGATTATCTGAACTGGGCTTGGGCCTCCCCTATGTCGACTCAGTCTCAAATGAGTACCTGGAGAGGTGTCTAGTATACATCGCCGGTCGGGAGACAGAGGCAGCCAGGCGTGGTGCTGGCCACCCACCCCCTCGTGTGCTGTGCCGGCCGTCATTGGTGCTTGCTAACAGCACTTTCCCCAACAGTCTGTTAAGGTGAAATGGGGGATCTTTGTCTTTGTGGTAGTTTAGTGGGTAGCATGCGGTGCTGCAAACCCGGAGACATGAGTGTGATTCCCGCTCATGGCCAACACCAGGGACAATCATCTTAACCAGTTATGGGCCTCCCCTAGGTCGACTAAGCCTAAAAATTAGTTTCTGGTGCCATCATCGGCACTAGGGAGACAAAGGAGGCCAGGCACGGTGCAAGCCAACCATACCCTCGCGTGGGGTGCCGACCTTCATAGGTGTCCACTAACAGCACTTTCCACGATAGTCTGTTAAGGCTATATGGGGGGCATTTTTAAGTGCTGGCCACACATTAACCACAACACCTTGCTGAACTCACCAAGGAGCATCACACAAACTCCAGTCATCCTCGCAACGGCTTTTGGCTTATCATCGAACAAAGATGGCTACTGCTTCGCACACTTTCAGATGCGCTTCTGCGGCCATCTGGAATGCTCTTCCTTCAGATAATAATTCGGAAGCCACTGGAGCTCGGCACTTTTAAATCTAGATTGAAAACCACAAAATAGCTTTTTGTGTATCGTTTGTTCTCCTTGCTCCACACCTCCGATTGGCTACATATGGTGCAAATGAAGTTCAACCTATATAAATGCCACGCTGGCGAGATGTTAACTACCTCACCTAGTATACAGGAAGTTGTCGGTTCGATCCCAACCCTGATGCCTGCATATTTGAAGAGTGCATGTTCTCCCCGTGGTCGCGTGGATTTTTCTCCGGGTCCTCTGGCTTTTCCCTCCACATTTAGAATCAACATGCGTTTGAGAATATTTGACTGCTATAAATTTCCACGTGATAAGCTACTTTGGCTATATGTTGTGACGAGGTCGCTTCTGAAAACGAGCTCTATAGCCCAGTGGGCCTTACCTGCAAAAAAACACATTCAAAATATTCATTTATATTCATTTGTCTCGTCTTTATGTTGCCAGGCTGGTGGGCAACCTGGTCGGAGTGGGGTGCCTGCTCGCGCTCGTGCGGAGGCGGGCTGCGGGTGCGGATGCGGGAGTGTGACGTGCGCTGCCCGCACGCCTGTGAGGGCCTGGCAGAGGAGACGGACGGCTGCGGCGAGCAGGACTGCCCCAGTAAGAACACGCACAGCAGCGGTGGCGGCGGCTGGGAGCCGAGGTTTGGTGAAGCACCTTCCAGTCACACCACGGGACAATTGCATAGCAAAGTCCCACGTCTGACTCGCCGGAGGCTGAGGCATAGGCAGATGTGTGAAAAGGAACGGATTTGTGAACACCTTTGGCAAGTGACAGTTACAGAATCTGAATATGTATGCGTGCTGGAGGAATCCGATCAGATACAAAGCTTTTTTTAAACAATAGGGGCGGGTCAGAACGTTACAACAGCAAACGATACAAGAACACGTTAAAAGTGCAAAGTAATTTTTATTATTTTCTTTATCTTACCAGGAAAAGCCAACTGAGCCATGGGCTTATTTTTTTAGAAGCCGCAAACATTAGCTCAATGAAGTGGCTTATCATGTGGAAATCTATTGCAGCAAAATAATCTAGTAATTTAACTTTGTGCACAGATACTGCATTGGGTAGGGCAGTTAATTGGTTTGGGCAGATATGCTACGGTTGGATATGCGACGTGGTCATGTAATTGGATGGTTGTGAGTTCAAAATCCAGTTGGAGGTTGATAAAAGATATATATATATCACCCATCTGGGAGTCAATTAAATGAATGCTACTTTTCTAAAGTCGGCAGTAGTTATCCCAATGGCTCCAGCCGGAGGAATCTGGAATATTTGCTACTGGTTCAGGACTGCCAATTGAAATGACCATTTCAGCAGGAAGGCAAGACACTCCGATTTTGGGACACCGAGTCCCAGTCAATGTATCTGCATCACATTTTTTCTCAACGAACGAGGCATTGTTTGTTATCCTAAATGGAACTTCATTGTCACCGCCGGTGGAGTCTCCGAAGGCCAGCCGCTACCGTAGATATTTGCGTGCAAGTAGAATATGTATAAATCGTCCTTTCTCCAAACCCCATAGGTGCCTCAAAGCAGCACAAATGTGTACGGAAAAAGAATCACAAGCCCTATTATCCACGTGCGTTGTGAAATATTTACATATGCCACATGATAAATTACCAGGTGTCCCAAGCCACAACATAGACCCAGCGTTGCATGAAACACAAGGGTTCAATTGTATCTTCTTTGAGAGTGCACCACTTCATTGGTAAAAAGCTCAGTAAAATTAATTATTGTATTGTTACGTAATAATTAGTTAATACAAATGCTAGCCACTGTCAGTATACTCATTAACATGGTCATTATGTGCTGTGTTCATATTGTAATGAGATTAAACTCTTACGTATTGTTGCCTTGTGAATCATCATTGTTATTACATAACTAAAATCTCTCTCTTCACTTTGCATTTGGAACATTGATGCGGTCTTTCTGACAAGGAGCCAAGAGGTTTATAATAAGCGATGGAACAAATGCCATTCACAATCATATGGTTAATGTATTGTGTAATTATACCGTCATGCAAATCACATAGTTGGTTAATTTACATTAATTTATACTGATCTATAAACATGACCAGACTTTTTTTTATTTTCCTTTATATATTCACAACTGCACACGAGCATTCATATTAATTAATTTTAAACATAATGCTCAGCTTTTTTCCTAACTTTTGTATTGGAGTCGGCATTCAATGTCAAATATTATCAATACATTCTCTATAGCAATTATAATATTATAATATTCAATATAAGCATACAATAATCTGATAATAATGGTGAGATCAATAAATCCCACTAATTGTGCCGATTTGAATTTCTAAGTATAATGAACGCAAATTAACACATTATATGATATATCTTTACATATTACTCAAGATAATACGTGGCTGGGAGTGCAAATTTAGATACAATCATTTGGGTATTTTTCGGCAAGCTAATACATTTAAAGATACACTCCACTCACACTTCTATTAAGAGGCTCTCTGTTACATTAATGGGCATATATGTTCAACGGCCGAGTTTTATGAGAGCACTAATGTGTGACAATTATCTTTAAACTCGCCATAACATTCCTTCAACTGTGGCGAATATTCCTGTTTGTCCAATTTATATGAATACTGCACGTGCCCCTGAAAAATAATGATGGGGAAAATCACTCAGACGCTGTGTCTTGAACATTGTCAAAATGTGAAAATAAACCATTATGCAGAAATGCCTGCAACAATTTGCAACTTAAGTTATAGTAACAACGCCATATCATTTACAGTTATCATTATTATCATCATCGGCCCTGCCCTATCTACTGTTGGATAACGACTCTCCAAATGCGACACCGTCCCCCGTGGTTACATTGCAAACGTCCACAAGGCTGTTGCACATGAGTTGATCTCATCACTCAATGTCCACAGTGGTCATCCTCTTGGGTGTGTTCTCTCCTTTAGCTGCCATCGTCGCCAGTTTTGTCCATCGGCCATCACTCCTGCCAGCGACGTGTCCTGCCCAAGCCAATTTACTTATCTTTACAAGAATTATTATGTCCCTAAGTTGTGTTTGTTCTCTGATCCGTGCATTTGTGTTTCTTTCTCTAAGTGTGTTTCCAAGCATCGATCATCTCTCCATGCTTCTTTGCACACTTTTCAGAATTTGTGCCATATTCTTTGTCACTGTGCTTGTTTATGATGCATGTAAATGCGATGAATCTACACTGATTTATTTGTTTCTTAGGGCACAATACATTGAAGCATCACGTCAATTGAATGTGATTCACTCATTCAAAACAGCATGAAACGTATGAAAAATGAAATTCATAATAAAACAACTCCATCCTCTTGTTAATTGCATTCAGTCTAGGTCCAAATGTATATACTGGTTCATTAAATGAAGTCATCACTTGGAATCTATAATCTTCATAGATGTCCCTCGATATCTGCAATATTCATATTTGCATTATCCATACCTACAATGTGTATATTTATGTCCATGCAACTGGGAACATGTATGAGATTGAAGAAAGTATGGTATACGCATGAGCAACTAATCTCTTGCTAAAGATATGTTTTGTGGATTTAATTTTTTCAAAATAAACGGATAAAGCTTTTTTTCATTAAGATTTTTTTAGTTTTCTTAGCAGAGCACTGCCAAGTAAGTCTCTTTTTCAACACACATTGCAGGTTATATCAGCACGTCGCCAATGGGCAAACATCGAAACCGCTGCAGAAAAAAAACTGGCATTCATATAGTTGTACGACATGCTGTAAAGCATATTAAATGTCATTTCCAAAGTATTTGGTTCAAATTGCCGCCCACCCCCTTCTGTACATAAACACATCGACATGCTAATTTTCTCACGCTCTGCCCACTTACCCCTGGGGTTGAGCCCATCAAAACCCTTTATATGCTCTTGTTGTTAGCAGATCTTTCTCCTAAATCAGCAGTTGTCCTGCTGTATCGGTTCCACCTGATGACGGTCGCTTGTGTTGCGATCGAAACGTCGTGATTTAATTTTAATTGTATGTTTCATACCTACGTGACTTTACCGAAATAACCAAAGAGTATAAACACATACTCTATTAATGTTGTTTTAATCCATATCTTCTCTCTTCTCCTCGTCAGACAGAAGGAGCCAGACAAAGTATGCCCTGCGAAGCCACGGCCTGCGCTCCGTGGACTTCCGCAACAGGGAGACACCGCCTGCTCCTCCCTACGTCGGCTCATCCTACAGCTCGCATTCAGGTTGGCTGTGCACAGGGCTCACACTGACGTCGGGTCGCACTGGGGGGGTCTTGGGATCGGTGCTTCTGCACGCTTGCAGCATCACACGTTTGCCATGCACGTGCCAATTGACCCCCCCCCCCTCGGACACCCTTGAAAAAGAAGGAAATGTTTCATCAAAAGGGACTTTTACAGTTGGCATATTTACTGTAGTAATAATATTATAATAGTTGCAGAATTGCTTTATCGTGCTGTGGGGAGAAGCTGGGATAGGTAGACAATGCCAAGTGAGCTGTTGCCCCTGCTAGGATAGATATGGAGCTCGTTTTTTTTGTTCTCTCTCGAAATTGTAGGTTCAAAGTAATAGTGATTTCAAATCCAAAGTGTCTCTCCTCTCCAACACTGGGGCAGTATTCATCTCCTTTGGCAGTCTACGTGTCAGTGGTGGGAATCCGGTAAGTGCCATTCTCTTGAAAGCAGAGGGTAATCCGTGCATAGATACGCCTCTAAAATAACGAGGAGTCATAAAGAAGATTACATTTAAAATATTAAAGCGTTAATGTGTGATCCACCAAACGCAGTATGCTTATTAAATATGTGAATGCTTTACTTTGTAAGGAATGTAATAATCACATTCTCAATAATCAACAGCTGTAACAAGATAAGAAAGTAACAACGTCATTAGAAAGCAGTGGGATATCATACCTGTCAACCCCTTATTATAGACCAATTCAGACCTTATTGGTCACCCCGTGCCATTATAAATCTTGACGTTCATCCTACAAAGTCCCATCACAAGGAAGAAACACGAACAAATAGACAAAAAATGCCAGTATTGAAACGGCTGTATGCCGTTTGGACCTGGAAACTCAATTTCCCTGTACAAGAATATGGATAAACTGTATGTGTTGACAGGTATGGGATATTTATATAACTGGATCAGATTGTACAGCCACTGTGGACGACTTGGTACACATTTTAATGAACCTCGAGCCATGATGGGTTTAAATTTACAAATGTCCTAGCGAGCAGCAACCACATTCCTCTCTTGCAGTATTCAGCCAGTTTCCTTGAACAGCAGCAACAAAATGCATGATAATTAAATAAAAGTATGAGATTATTATTAACTGCAATTGGTGTGTTTGCACTGTAATTGAAACTATACTGAATACATTTTATAAGATCATTATCTGCTGAAAATTCCATTTGCAAATGTCGCAAAAAGGAAGATTGAATTGATTTTATTGGTGCACAATAATTGCATGGAAAATGGGACTGTAGCGATTTGAGGAATAGCATTTAAAATGCGTATAATTGTAGCCACAACATCGCATGCATGGCATGAGTGAGTTGTCTGCTAGGATCCTCCTTGTCCGATTGATGGGAGTGACAAGGTGGGAACTGGGATGTCAGGACTGCCTTCTTAACCTCCAGCCAAAGAGACGAGACTGAAGACATGCCGGTCAGAGAAGATGCAATTGCTTAGAACCGTCTCCTTTGGACGAGCAAAACATGTCTTTTGGTCCAAGTAAAATGCTTGTGTATTTTTGTGTGTACAACCTACGAAATGCAGACTTTACATTCACACCCTGTGCCTTTCTCACGAGCTGTTTCTGCTGATTAATTCTCAGTTTGGCATTTTCCAAAGAATGGCATAGTTAGATCATGTGAAACTGTTGATAAATCACATATCATATCACAACACTCTTAAAACGAATCAATGCATTGAGTTGCCTGGCTGACTGCTGCCTGGGCTCCTCTGCACCCCTAGACAATAGCCTTATTGTTCGTGGCTCCAGGCCATTGCCACCAAATCTTACTGGGTAACTGGCTCTATGGGGATGTTCGTGTAATCGATACAAATTTAGGTGAATTGAAATGGTGTAAGAAGTCCGGCAGACATTGAATAGATAGTGACACTGAATGGGTGGCTGTAACGTTTCCAGAAGATTGACACGTTTCTATCGAACTTTTCAATATGAGCTCCTATTAACGTAATAGTGCCCCGGGTTATCGACTCGTTTTTTATCATTGTGAAGAATATATATTGAGAAAAAGAGATAAGCAGATAATATCTCTTTCATATATCTGTCTCTCCACGTAAAAAAAAAATACACTTTCTTTTACACCCCATTGACCACGTGACCTGATGGGTGTGCATCATTTTAGCAGCATTGATAAAAAAAGCAAGCAAACTCATTTGACCAGCATTCAATCCATATAAGGAAACGTGTATACCAATGGTCCTTAAATTATATATTTCCTCAAGGCTGTGCACCCGATGGGTTTTGTAAAACATACTTTTGAGTTCTTTATTTTTACATGGAGAGGCCAATATATATGGAGACATATTTTCTGCTTATCTCGATGTACATATTACAATGAGAACGTTGCGAGCTCAAAATCCAGGTCGTGGGTCAAGTCGGCAAATCATTAATCTGGGGTTCGTAAAATAGGTACCACTTTTGTAAAAACAAAAACAAACGCGGTTGTCCTGTGCAGAGACTGGCCCCATCATAAGGAATATGACATTTCCACCAATTGCTCAGGGCCACCGATGGAGACGTGATAATTTAAGCAGGGAGACACGTTTGAGTCTATGGAAATGGCACTCCGTCACTTATAATATAATCTGTTGAGTATTGGCCTTGAACATGCGGCAATGTCACGTGTATTGTTTTATTATCTCTCTTACGAGCACTGTTGCCCACGGGCAAGGCATACTTCTGGTCATATTGCATAAAATATCTGTTCATGAAAGCAGTTTTTTCCTTGAATGCTACAGCTAAAATAACATTATTGGTTTAAACTATCATCGTAGAGCAATCTGCAAAATGTATAAAATCGTGTTCCTTTTGTAATTTAACATATGATACCACCACCATCGCTACTCCATATACAAATAATCACCTACATTTTTGTTTTATTCTCAGAGTGCTATCATAATTAAACATATGTTAATATGCCCCTTGAATATTCTCACAAGACAGTGTAATATGTCCTAGATTTCAGAACAAATTAACCAGCGCTACACTTTTAATACATTTTCAGAACATTTGGTGCGCGCACAAATGTAATGCGATCTACATATAAAGGCTCCAACGCATGCCACTTTCCTTGTTCATTCAATTAATTAAAGTTTTGTCCAATTCCAACTATCTAAAAATATTTGCACCCAGTCCAATTAACACGAGTGATTTGGGAGTGGGTGCCCCTTACGTGACTTCCTTGCAGTAATTTCTTTGGTTACTCCCACTGAGAGATATTACCATATTCTCCAGGTAAAAAAAATGCTCTGGAAAGTAACATTAACCCTAAGACTTGTGCCCAGTATCCATTATGTTATCTACACCACACACACGCACACACAACTGCCTTGACGATGCACCCAAAACTTTTGTTTAGGGAAAAAAGTGCGTGTTATGATCCAGAGATACGGTAATGCATTAGGGTCGGAGATATAATCATGTATATCTGTCTCTTCATGGACTCATCAACCAGGAGGCCACATTCTCAAATAAAATAAAATAAACTCTGGACTTCTTAAAATAACTGCCAACATGTAGCTATAAAAAGAAAATCTCAATTATATGTAATTTATAAACTAAACTACCAAGTAAATTTTACCAGGTAAGGTCCACTGAGCTATATAGCTCTTTTTCAGAAGATACCTGGCTATCATGTGGACATTTATAGCAGTCAAATATTCGAAATTCATGTTTCTAAATGTAGAGGGATAAACCGGAGGACACAGAGAAAAAAATTCCACGCGACCTACAGGGAGAACATGCAAACTCCAAATATACAGGTGTCAGTGTCGAGATTGAAGCTACAACCTCCTGCACACCAGGCGAGGTAGTTAACATCTCGCCACCGTGGCACCCTTTATACATTTGCCAAGGGCTCAACATGTCCTATTTGCTGTATCTGTGTGCAATGAATGAATGTGCACTCATGGGTTATTCATGAGCACATACCTGCCCTTCTGTAAAATATACAGTCGGTGCAACTTTTTTGGAACATTGTTGTGAATAACAATGTTTAAGTTTAAGTTTCGATTTAAAGCTTTCGTGACTGCAGGGATTCATCTTCTTGGTTCTTTCGGTAAAGTCACGTAGAATGGAAATAATAAAATAATAATAAAATAATACAAATTTAACATAATAAAATAATTCTCACGACGTTTCGGCCACAACGCAAGCAGCCGTCCTCAGGTGGAGAGCAGGTCTGTCAGACTCTGTTTTCTCGACAGACCTGCTCTCCACCTGAGGACGGCTGCTTGCGTTGTGGCCGAAACGTCGTGAGAATTATTTTATTATGTTTTATTTTTATTATTTTATTATTTCCATTCTACGTGACTTTACCGAAAGAACCAAGAAAATGTTTAAGTTTGTGTTGCCCCAATGTTTCATATGCCAGTGTATTCGGTGCAGTAATGTTGCATATGAGTCTGCGGCATTCAGCTATTCAAAAGTGTTTGAACAAAATATGTTCTACGTGCACTGTGATTGGCTGGCTGAAGTCTTGTGGGGTTATCATGGCAACGCAAAGGTAATAGTTATAGTCGCGACCAATGTTATTCATAAGAGGTTTTTGAGCTAAATCGCGTAAATATATTAATGTGTCGTTAAACCCGCCACCACCCGACATTGCCAATTAGCAAGGTTTGTCACGTAAACAGAATGTGCCAATTCGTTACTAGTACAGCACACCGGTGTGTTGGAGAGTAAACCCACAACATTTACAATTGGAGTGCAACGTTTTGCCAGTGGAGACATCCTCCTGTTTCAGTATTAAATAGAGGGATACATGTGATGTCGTTACTTGTGAACCAATCAGGTGTAAAAGCCAGCAGGGATGGGGGTAATAATTATATGCGGTGGATTTTTTTTTATGTATGCCAGCATGGAATGGCAGGGATATGCATAATATATATATATAAAACTGAATGAATCTGTCCTTACTGGAGTAATTTTACTTTTTTTTCTAATACATATATTTCTCTGAATTACTTATCTGAAATGCCTACTTTTTTCATTGGCTGAATGTGCACATTGCCTTGCCTAAGATGCTCTTCTTGGCTCCATGAGCCAGGCATACAGGAAAGATGGGAGAGCAGCTGCTGAGTCTAGAGCCTGTAGTCTGTACAAAATTAATGGCATAAGCTGTAATTGATTGTAATCGCCTCGTGTTGAAAAATATAAGCAGCAAAGTTAGATTGTTTAGCGTTGGATGCTTTGCAACATTTGAAGAATACAACAAGGGAATGTGCAACAACGTTCGAACATTTAAATCCAGCTCTAGACAACATCGATGTGCTCATTCACATTTGAGACATTACGCTAAAGACGTACGATTCACGGCATTCGATTTTAGTCAAAGGAAGTCTGCGGTGGTGCAATGGTTAGCACACTGGATTTGCAATCCACAGATATCCTGGCACTGCAAATGCACATTGGTGCAACGATCTTAAATCCTCCTACCTCTGTTCGCCCAGAAATACAAACCTATACACCACGGGCAGATCAGCAGGTCTGCACGCGGTGAGGTCAAGCGTGTGTAGTCCCACCCCTTCCAAAACATCGTGCCAGTATAGAGAAAAGTAGGCCGAATTACCTACTCGAAGATGTATCTTGCGCTCCCTCTAGTGGAGGCCCGTCCACCAGCAGTGTACATGAGCAAGCAGTTGTATCTCTCCACCTTTAACCTTCTACCCCCTGACTCAAAGAACCAACATCAAGTCGAATTAGAAAGAGAAACCTTCCGTGCCAGTTGTTGTAGTTTGCCTTGCTTTTTGTTGTTGTTCTAACGTTGCACGTGTTTTGTTTCCGCAGGGAGTGAGCTCAATACGGAGGAGTGGTCCAAATGGAGCGCTTGCTCCGTCACGTGCGGCCATAGCATCCAGATCCGGACGCGCTCGTGCGTGACGGCGTCGTACGGCTCGCTGTGCGCCAGCCCGCTGCGCGAGACCAAGCCCTGCAACACCACCGTCAGCTGCCCCAGTGAGTGACTTCCCATTGGCCGACCTCACGCCTCTTTTTCACCGTGCGGATCAGAACCGTGTCTGGGGCCGTTCCTGAGCCGGCCTGGCATGGAACAGGAAGGCGACGGGTTATTGTTTTTTTTATTCCCACTTCATGAGCAGAGGCCGTGCCGCCCATGTCACGCAGAACGAACGGGTTGAGTCGCGCGTAGGTGACGTGGCGATGATGTGTTTAAGTTGTCCTGATACGTTGCGGAAAATGAATGTGTCATTAGTCAGGCACCCTAGTTGTGCTTGGCACATAGCCAGGTTCACATGCTGTATGAGGCCAGCATATATGTTATGGTTCTGCTTAAGCATAGCGAATAGCCAGTGGAAAACCACCTGTACCATGAGAGTCCCACAGTGGCTCAGCTCAGATGTGCCAGAGGTAAGGGGGCATTACATTCCAGCTGTACTGTTTGATTATTCCATGAGATTACGAAATATATTTTATGAAACTGTCACAGTGAAACATTACGATTTTGAGAGCTGCCCCTGGAAAGTGACATCTTATCATTCCTTTTGGGGGTCACATAAAAATACCTGTTATCCACACCTGGTGGTGCAGTTTTTTGTTTACTGTAAATATGGAGTTCAATGGGTATATGGCAATAACAATCAACATTTCCCATCATCAGAGGTAGGATATACCTAATTAAGCCGCAAACTAAATGTTCAACTATTTTGTTTACGTATTTATTTGGGCCCAGGCTATGATGATGAACTCTCTACACTTGAGAATTTGCTTTTAATTACAGTAGTATGAAACCAGGAGTTGAACCTAGAAATTCAGCAGTGCTGGATCAGTGCTCTCGCACGGTACTTGCATGCAGAGGTACCTGACCAACGTCTTCATTGCTGCCTTATTCATTCGACCTACAAATGTGAAATGGGTTGGGTAGTGCTTCTGACAAAGTGGCCCACACAGTTGGCTGGTGGCAAGTTCAAATACTGGTAAGAGGTCAACTCGGCTCACCATCATCATCAGCCTTACTTTACAGTCGGTGAAATGAATATTGCTTCATTTGCGACGTGAGTAGTTGTTTTGTGGAGGGACTGGTCCTTGCCATAGCCATGTTGAATTTCCACTGCCTGCTCTGGGTTGGAAATGGAGGTGATTGCTGCATCATTGCGTGTTTGAGCAAAGGGACACTTTGACTCGAATCGTCTCAAGTCGATGTGCACTAGTCTGATTACACTGGTCAACAAAAAAAACTAAAAAAATCTGGCCTGGATTTTTGCAGCTGTTTTAGACTAATTTCAGGGTGCTGATTCCAAATCTGATCTCAGATTTGCTCTATCACATCTCATTTTTATGCTATCGGCATACCCCATTTTCATTGATTTTACCCCAAATTAACTCTGTCACTTATGATTACAAATTGTTGCGAGTCAGTGATTGCTTTAATGTTAAAATATGGTGCTGTATTTTTAGGATAGTGTGTTTATAATAAAATTTTATGTAGATATCCACATTTATGTAAAATTTTTCTTCTGCAGTTTTTATTGAAAATGCAATATTTGATATCTCAAAAACCTGATGTGATAGACAAAAACTGATGTCAGATTTGGAATCAGCACCCCAAAATTAAATTAAAACCGTTGGAATACCTTATGCCAGAAAAACTGTGTTGACCAGTGTTATATTATCACCCCAATGCATATGCGAGGCAAAGCATTTGAAACACGGAAACACTGAAAACTGAGTATTTGCCCATGAACACGTGTGGCTTTACTCAGAATGTAGGTTGCAGCTTGAGTCATCTCCACAAACTCGAGATTATATGACCGACCATCTGTGCGCTGTGGCTTACATAATAAGCTACTGGGTAGCATAGTACTGCATTTAATGTCAGTCAACCTTGGAGGCACACAGTCGAGCCAAAGTCTGTCACCGTTAAAGTTTTCGTGATGTTTTTTCGGGAAGGATGTCATTTTTCAAAGGAACAAATTCAAGGTTATTGCATTCATAGCTCTATAAACAAGCACTAAACATCAGCGTAGAGTCTACACATTTTATATAATAAAATGCCACCTGAATATATTCATGGGTAAGAATTTTTATTTTATTACTATAGGGACATGTGTATGGAATGACAATGGTATTCAAAATATGTTAAGAGTACTGTATCTCTGTTGAGAAAGATGCAACAATTACTTGGGAGGCCTTCATCCAGCAGTGAATGAACCATTGATGATTATGCAATTAGTAACACTAATTATTTTGTTGCTCAACTAACAATCAGAAGTTTGCGGGTTCGAATAACAGTCAGAATTCAACTCAGTCTACATCAACACTGTGTGGTCACTAAAATATCTACCAATTTGTGGACAGACTGACCCCTGTTATTGAAATGCTGAATTTCTACTATGGGCTCAGATCGGACAACAAAGATGAGAACTACTCCGTGCTCCTTTATGCATAGACATACTTTATTGTTCATAGTTTTATAGCTGACGGGAATGGGCGGATGACAAGATATAGTGGGGCGTTGTGAGTTAACGAACGGGCAGCTTGCGTCTTCAGCCTGAAGCTGCTCTGCCACAGGGCAGAGTCAGGCAAAGGCAGAGCTTTCATTTCCCCACTGCTGCTCTCCGCCTGCCACAGCTGTGCCCAGGCAGGATGTGCTCCTGTGATGCTGCGCATGCAATGGTTTCTAATGGACTATGATCAGTTGCAGGATTCCCCCATGGCAATACCGGTGTGCACCAATACTCCGTCGTTGAGCAGATCCGCACGTTCAATTATCGCCGTTTTCGGAAAGGCCTACACGTCAACCCGCTTTCTTCCAGCTTGTTTTGTACAAATGTAATTGTGTCCGATCTCTTATAACAAATACAAAGCTCAGGATACTAATTGTATTATCAATATTTTACGATTGAAAGTGGAATATTATTGACAGAAAGGATACAATAATATTGATATATGTAGTTAAGACATATCACGGCCATGCACATTTATTTTTGTTAGAGTAATGGAAATCATAGCTGCTGTGGTGTAATGGTTAGCACACTGGAATTGCAATTCAGAGGTCATTGGCAGTTGAAACAATGGCTCACCATAGTTAGTCAATCAACAGGTCATATGTGGTGGGATCAAGTGTGGGTAACTCCCCCTTCTTGCAAGACATCAGCCCAGTGTAGGCCAAATATTGTATAGAGCTGCTCTCTAAAGCTCCCCTTATTGGAGGTCTTTTCACCAGCAGTGGCCTGAGAAATCAACTACAATTACCTATAACGCTGCTCAAGCCACATAATAGACCAAACAGGTATCTAGATAATATGCATGTACTGTGTAAGTTGTATACCTGCATTATTAAGAGACTGTTTAATTTTATAATATATACTCCCCAATACTCTCACATTAAACCGCACTCCCAATACCGCCTATGTTCATACGAGTTTTTGGCTGCGGTAATCATCATTGGTGCTCATGAGCCAGTGAGAACAATTCCATATCTATGACAAAAGCAAGTCTCTCCAATGGACAGGCATTGTTGAATTCCTCCAAAGTCATAGCTATTTTATCCAACTAAGTGGGATGATGGGGTTTACCTCTCAGTCTTTCAATTGCGAATCAAGCCACGATGCCTCCCATCCAGATAAAGTAATACTGCAATACAAAAAGCACGGTGCAAAAATAATAATTTTACAATTGCCAATTTTCACTGTTCATGAAACTACAAGTAAATAAAAATAACAAATCAATCCATAGACCAAAAGTGTCAGCAATTCAGTTTCATTTTACTCCTTAATCTTTTTCCTCTCTTTTTGAGAGAAAAAAAAACACAAAGGTGACGATGGATTGTTGGGCCTCTGCGAGTGCTTGACCTGACCTCCGTCTGGTACAAGCAAGGCTGCAACAAGGCAGCCTCTTAAAGGCATGAACTCTCGCACCAAATTATTAGAACAGAGTCAATGCCCCTTAGCCTTCCACTGAAAGATCACTATCGAAGAGCAAAGGGTCAGGGACAATCTCAGATGAGAGAAAAAGCATGACAGCACAAGACTTCTCCAGCCTGGTGTCCTATTTTGTCTGAAGACATTGAGAAGGAAGGCAAATCCGGAGTTATATTGTCTGCTGTTTGCAGCTATTGGTAATATGGTGGAGGTAAAAAAAGGCTCAGAAGATTAAATCGTTCTGTTTTACAATGCAAAGGAATTTCCTGATGTGTGATTCCCACCACTTTAACCAAATACATACTCAACCTGGTTTTGCCAGCAACATCACCTGGAGCCATTTGAGAAAGGCATTCCGTAATATTGTCTTTTATGTTAAATGACGCTCCCTATGCAGCCTGGATTATGCAAGGCTGCATTATGAGCTTACTATCACGTGTGCTGTGAAATGGAGTGTTTTTGCAACTGCTTTGAAATACACTTTAATCCAGTACGTAATTAATGTTTTAATGTCTATATTTTACAATGTGCACATACTAACTTCTGATATAATTTGCTGTTGGCTCCATTTTAATCACAGCGACAATATCAAATGGTGCACGTTGTAGGCTTTTGTGTTACTTTATTTCATAGAGTGAAATAATACACAGACCACGTAGCAGTTAACACTCAAAGTTTCCAATTTAAATTAATATATAGAATGCAAACAAAGTATCTCCACCTTCACTGACAACCCAGCCTGGTCCATATCCATTTACTGGATCTCATTGTTGCTCTATGGTCACTTCGACCAATGGCTGTGTTGTTTGAAACAACACTCAACGTCTAAATAACACACAGCTTCTGTGTGAGCTGCTATTAAATAGCATCCTGTACGGTCGCCCCCCACCATCCAGCTCACCCCTTCGAGTTTCCCTACGTGCATTCTGTCTCCTTATAACCCTGCACAGATAATTATCAGAATCTTTATTTACTCTCAATGAATCCTATGAGATGTCCAGTAGGGGTGGGTCAGAAAGTTACAACAAACAAAAAAAAAACACGATAGCAGTGCAAAATATAGAAAAGGTAAGCAAATCACACGAAATTATTTTATTTATTTTATTTTATCAGGTAAAGCCCACAAAGCTTTGAGCTTCTTTTTCAGAAGTGGCCTGGCCACAAGTGATAGCTCAACGAAGTGGCTTATCATGTGGAAATGTATAGCAGGCAAATAATCTAAAAGCATGTTATTTTTAATGTGGAGGGAAAATCCAGAGGACCCAGGGAAAAAAAATCCACACGACCATGGAGAGAACATGCAAACGCCAAATAATTAGGCATTAGGGTCGGAATCAAACCCCCAACCTCCTGCATATGGACAAGGAACATCACACCACTGTCGCGCCCCATCATTACAGATTCAACCATTCACCCCATCATCAGAAATGTGATGAATTTTCATGATTCAAGGTAATTATTCCATTCAATAATTAATACGTATTTTGATGTTCATATTATGGTGAAGGTAGCGGGTCACTAGTTTCTGCACGCATCACATGAAACCATTGCAGTGAACGCACGAATTACATACCCACATTGCATTGCATTGAGAGACATAAAGAGGAATGCATAGATTATGAAACAGATGCAGATATAATGTGCCGTTCAAATTATGCAGGAAAGTAAACTTGGCTTGGACAGGACACGTCACGAGAAGAGATGATGGATAACGGACAATAACAATAGGGGTAGCAGCCGAGGAAAAAAACTACTCCAAGAGGGGCGGCCACAGAGGAGATGGAGTGACGAATTTAGTTAATGTGCCGGTGTTATGTTGCAGAATTGTGAGTGGCGGTGGTGGGTTGGGCAGGCCTTTATCCAGCAGTGGATTGACCATGGATAAAAATGATATACGAACCAAAAATCTAGTTTAACACATAGGTTTCCGCAGCCCATATTATACATAATATAGGGGGCGTGGTGGTTAGGTCGTTAGAATAACGAAACATTTATATTTACACAATCTAAAAAAAAACTCTATTTAGAATTTTATAAAAGCATTGATTCTTACCCATGTGATTTGAAACGTGCATTACATGCTTCATTTTCCTTCTACTCTTCAACCTCCTCTGTCTGCCTCCATCTGATTATAATGTTCAGTCTCTCAAAGTCTATGGTTACTTGCTTATCGGTTTTTGGATAATTGTTGCCGACGGGGATTATGGTCAAAATAGGTATGGACCATTCCTTAACAGCATTCAATACAAATTTAATTGGAGACATGCATTAAATTTGATCCCAGTGATGAATGATGGCAAATGACTTTGATGATTAGCTATTGATTGCTAATTGCCGAATACCAAAGAGCAATGGTTTATAATGGAAAATGCTTACGTATGACTTATGATCAAGATTAAAAGAAACTCACAATGGTCATTAGTAATGACAGATGACGACTATAACAGTGATGAGGCTGTCTGAATATGATTATGATCGTAGCAATGGATTATAAGGAATTCAAATTAAGAAGCTAACGACTCTTGCTATTGATGACAATGATGATAAAGATTGTGGCACGATATTATATACATTTTATCATGGTATTTTTAAGATAATCTTTCATTAAAATAAAAACAGTAATTTGGTAGTACAAGAGGTATCCATATCTAATTTTGTGTTCGTTTTATCATTGACCATAAATACCCCAGAAATATCGAATAAACTGTTCAAAGTGTATTTTTGGTGGATTGTGCTAGCCGGATGACTGAAGGTGCTGAATGAACATTAACGTAGAACATATTATTAATCGGTTACATTTAACAGACCTACAAGACTAGGCTGCATCAAGGTTATGATGAATAAATGCAATAAATGACTGTGGTCTGATAATGCCCGTGGTAGTGATGATGATTCTGATGAAATGTGTAATAATAATGATGATAATGCTGCATACAGTTAATTCAACAAAAGTGAAATTCTCGAGAGGCATGTTGGAGTCTTTCAGCCCAATTGAACAATCAGCAATTCCTTTATTAGTCTAGTGTTCTCACATTGACAGGGGTAAACCCTCCCTCTCAAGCTTCCTGTGAATGTTTCTCCAGCACCTATGCTATAGAATCTAAATTAGCGATCAAAATAACTATGCGTAAGCTAAATTTGCCGAACGGTTATTTCAACACTGCACCCACCAAAAACCAAGCGAAACATTGAACTGCAAACGTTATGACCAAGATGATGACAGTCACATTGATATTATTTATATTATAGTGATGACAATAACAAAATCAATGATGATCATGAAAATGATGTGATAACGATGGTGGAAATTATAACAATAACAAATACCATGCAGTTAATAACACTGTAACAATGACAGTCATAATGATGACTCTAATGGTGACATTAATGATAGTTCAATTTTTTTTATCAGTTGCATTGATGTGTTTTATGGATTGTCCGACGTTTCGTTCCATTCGCTGGGAGCTTCTGTCGGGAAAAGTTTCTGGGAATGTTTTGCTTCAGGTGCTGATTAGCTTCAGGAACTGTATGCTGGAACTCTTCCTGAAGAAGAATGTGGTGCAACACGTATTTTATTTTAATGCAACTTTAATTTCCATTGCTAGTTTCAACTTTAACAAGCCATGACTGCCCCACTTTGCCGAGATCCCTTGCATGGTTTAAACATACCTGGGCCTTGGTGTCTAGGCATGAATGGAGGAGAGGTGTAGGGCCACAGTTCTTCACGAAGCTCCCAGCACAAGGTGCAAAATCGTTGCACAATTTGCCCCAACAACCGTAAAAACCACAATGCAGAGCAACAACGATGGTTATCTCTGGTCGACAGAGATTACCCCTCGACTTGACCAGCCTTGACAATGCATTGTTGACGGCCTTTGTTCCCCTTCCCACCGCCACCAGTTAACGGGCTGTGGGACGAGTGGAGCCCCTGGAGCCTGTGCTCCAGCACGTGTGGCCGCGGCTACCGCGAGCGCGTGCGCTCCTGCACTCAGCCCCAGCACGGCGGGCGGCGCTGCGAGGGCCCCGAGCGGCTGACCAAGAACTGCAACATCGCCCTCTGCCCGGGTAACTTCGGTAGCTACCACAGGACCCGACACTTCTTGTTCTGCCTTGCGTGCCCCGTGCCACGCTGTTGCCCCATGTGTCCACGCTCGCCGGCGGCGCTTGCCCCAATGGTCTCTTACGGCTGTATGGGGGATATCCTTAGGTTTTTTCGGTAAAGTCACGTAGGTAAAAACATTAAAAAGTAAAATGAAATAAAATATAAATCACGACGTTTCGGAGGCAACACAAGCTTCCGTCTTCAGGTGGTACCGTCACAGTCACGACAGCTGTATTTACTTGATACTTGATACAGCTGTCATGGCTGTGACTGGTACCACCTGAAGACGGAAGCTTGTGTTGCCTCCGAAACGTCGTGATTTTTATTTTATTTCATTTTACTTTTTAATGTTTTTACCTACGTGACTTTACCGAAAAAACCTAAGAATATGAATCATTGCAGTCACGAAAGCTTCAAATCTAGAATGTATGGGGGATCTTTGTCTTTGTGCCCTGCCACACACCACTACCCACCACGCTACCTCAGCCCCTGACCCTCCTAGAGCCCCCACCTCTATCGATGTGAATCCCATGTCCGGCTGGATTCAGCCTGTGGACATTCTTTGGTGGGGGGAGGGGGTATGTCAACCGATCTTTCTTGACAGATTGAGTGAATACATCTTTGCTCACATCCCTCTGGAACTAAATTATATAATGCATATCTCTGGAACCTTTTTTGCCAGTATCCAAAATGATGAAAAATAAGAATAGGTTTTACCCTCTCTGGAAATCAAACAGGTGTTAAGATGTTCAACCACCAAATAGCTACCTTTGGCAAGGCATCAAGTCTGCAATAATCACACGTACTTGTGGCAAAATGTGAAAATAAACATGCTCTGATAATGAACGCATTGTCTTTTAAACTGATTGGCCACACCAGAGACAACCTTCTTTATGGCCTAGTCTCACCGGTGGCGTTCTCTGGTCTAACACCGGTGAGGCAAGGCCATGCATAAGGGTGCCTCTGGTGTAGGCTAATCAGTTTCAAAGACAATGCATTTGTTATCAGAGGATGTTTTTTTCATCTTTTACTGCAAGAATGTGTGGTTAATGCAGACGTGATACCTTGCAAAAGGTATCTATTTGGTGTTTGAACGTGTTAACCATTTCCCGTTATTTTCGCAAATATAGATAATAACATAGATACGCAGAGAGTATACCTCCTGTATATATACATCTCTCCACGGACATTTTTCAATAAAGCATTATTACACGACCCAATGGCTGCAAAGACTTCTGGAAGTGCGTAATTTCAACAGCATTGAATCAATACAAGCAAACCGTGCACCAGTTTTGACTCGCAGTGTCTCATCAGCAGAGCCAGGCCTGCTTCGTTTGAATAATTTTTGAACGGCCAGATGATATAGGAAAGTACCCTTTCTTTAAGATATAGTTCCTAGTTCGACAAAGATATGGTTTCTCGTTTTGTCGAACTCGGACCCTTATCTTACAGAGAGAGAGAGAGAGAGTAATTGCCTATAACATCTGGCAGCATTGATTAAAGCAAGCCTGACTACTGATGAGGCACTGTATGTTGAAACCAGTCCAGAGCTTTTTTGTGCTGAATTAATGCTGCAGGCATTATGCACTTCCAGAAAGCCGTGGGGCATTATATGTTGTGCAAAAAATCCTATTATATTTTTTGTAAAGAGAAACAGATTCATGGAGACATTGCTTCTCTATTTTAAACCAGATAAACAAAATCCTTTCAACCGGAAAGTTTTACTTTGCAAAGAGTGACCCAAAATTCATTCAAGGACATTTTTTACAGGATATGGAAACACTCAAAATAAGCTGTTAGAAAGAATAAAAAACAAATATCGTGTAATTAAACGTCATTAAAATGTCTAATGTCATCAATAACAAAAGTCTTGTCACGAAAACTATTTTTATTGAACATTTTACACATTTTGTAATCTTGAGCTCATTCCCACACCTATGCTAAAACTGCTGAGAAAAAAATCACAGTATTTAATTGCCACTGTGCCAGTGGCAGGAGAACAATCTCATTAGAGTTACATTGGTTAACATGGCACCCATGTCAATACATGCATTTTGAAAAGGCCATGTTTAACATTCAGTTGCTACATTACATTTAAATTAGCTCCCCTGCACTCCCCAAACGTGTTTGCAAGCCTGGGGAGCTTCTCATTGCGATCGCCGATGACAAATCTAGCCATCTTACACCTAGACAATGTTGTGGTGTAAAAGTATCAAAGAGGTCTCACTTAGCCATGATAATTATGTTTCAAACGATCCACTCTTGCAGGTATTATCTCCCCCCTGTTTCCCTTGTACGTATGCATGTACAGCATAATATTAATAATTGACACCATGTTGTCAGTCCACTGCTGAATGAAGGCAATCACGCCACGCACGTTTTGTTCACGTGTTGTTTGAGCATACTTCACCAAGCTGGTCAGTGTGGGTTGGTGAAGGAGGGTTCCAGCTCTGTTTCGGATATCACTCGCCACTAATGTTAGCCGTGACCATAAATGAAACTCATTTTGCAGGATTCATAGTAAACTAAAACTGAACTAAACTATTTTTTTTATTTCACCAGGTAAGGCCCACTGAGCTACATAGCTATTTTTCAGAAGCGACCTGGCCACAAATGATAGCTCAACGAAGTGGCTTATCATGTGGAAATGTATAGCAGCCAAATATTCTAAACACATGTTCATTATAAATGTAGAGGGAAAAAAAACTTGAGGATCCAGAGAAAAATCCACGCGACGATGTGGAGAGCGCATAAACTGTTTACCAGGTGAGGGAGTTATAATTTCGCCATCGTAGTGCAGTGTGCGAACCAAACTAAGGCACAAAACGATGCAACAGTGAAATCTCCCCCCTCCCACCAATAATTCTTTTTTTGAGAGGGAGGGGTTCTCTTATCTGGTTATGGAAGTCCATTTAAAAGGTTCCCATTCCCTGACCATGTATGTACATTGTCAGCACCAAAGCAATATCACAGATGGTGGCACTGAAGAGAAACACCAAGTAAAATAAGTTACGTGTAATTATAGCCAACAAGAGCACAGTTGTGGGTTGATAGGACAGTGTGCTAACCACTGTACCACTACTTCACCCATATAGCATTGTGGTCCTCTTGTCGGAGGTCACCATTTTGATGGTGTTAGGTCACCATTTTGATGGTCCTCTCATCTTTGGTCACCATTGTCATGATCCTCTTGTCTTAGGTCACCATTTTGACAGGCCTCTTGTCTTAGGGCACCATTTTGATGATGTTAGGTCACCATTTTGATGGTCCTCCTGTCTTAGGTCACCATTTTGATGGTCTTCTTGTCATAGGTCACCATTTTGATGGTCCTCTTGTCTTAGGTCACCATTTTGATGGTTATCTTGTCTTAGGTCACCATTTTGATGGTATTAGGTCACCGTTTTGATGGTTTTTGCTGATGGCTTTTGCATATGCATGGAAGCTGTGTGCTTTTTTAACATGTCCATATGTCGTCGGTTTTCCATATATCACACGTTGGTTTGAGTATAATTGACCATTGGGAGTCAGCTCAGTCCATCCCTCCTGTGTTGATAAGTATGGGAATCACATTGTGAGAAGGCAACATTTTATCAATCTATAAAAAAAATCAGTCTCTGACTTAGGAATGTGGATGTTCCAAACTTGCTGCTCAGAACTGAAACTGAAATTAACGTCACCCCATTGCTGATGTTAGAAGGGAGTCTATTCAACGTAACTTTTACTTAATGACAAATATAAACTTGCTTTACAACCAACCATAATATGCAAAACCAAGGTAAAATAAAAGTTTGATGTGGAAATCAAACATAGTTATGATGTAGATGCCCCCTAAACTGACCTGATATGGCTTTTTGAACATCATTATAAAAATCCATCTCCCTTCTGAGTCATTTCATTAAAGTTAATTAAAGCAGCCCATTAGCGTGATTATTTGAAAATGAAATGCAGGTTCACATGTTTTGATTATTTTGGCATAAACCAAATAGAGTGCTGTGGATGTGGGGAACGTCTAATTAGAATATGCATGTCATGATGAATGCCAACAAGTCTCACCTTTACTCTAATGGCATAAAAGTTTGAGGTTCACTGATAGATCGAATTATATTCATTACATCATGATTTTATGAATTCATTATTCATGACTTAATGCATTAGTATTTACATTCACTTACGCACGAATGGGAAACTAAATATTTATAAGGATTGTATTTTTTTGGGGGGGAATGGTTCCAATTAGTACAGTAATTGGTGATTTAAGATTTTTAATTTTATAGACAGAGAATTTCGATATAATTTAGTGAGGATGCTCTTGTGGTGTAATGGTTAACACACCAGACCGTTCCATCTCCCGGCACTGCAGTTTCTGAAATCCCCCGGCCTCTGTCCACCAAGCAGGATCAGTGTTCCATGGTTAGTCGAATGGCAGGTCATGTGCAGTGGTATGGTGGGCTAAAGTGTGAGTACTCCCACCTGTTTAAAAATGTCTGGCCACTGTCAAAGGAGAAACCAAAATAACCTCAATAGTGGCTCGTTAGAGCTCCCTCTATTGGAGCCACTTGGACCAGCAGTAGCATGAGCAATCAATTGCACGGCTGCACCTTTATATATATATTTTAATTATAATGCATACTCAGCATGTTGAATGCTGTTCAAATCATATTCATGAATGCAAGATGTATTTATGAATGTTTATGTGACGAAATTTAAGCACAGTTTTTATACAACATTTGTATATTATAACATTAATATTTCTTTACATTTCAATTATTGAGTGATTTATTTCTAGAATTGTTATGTAAGCGATGCAACGCACATTTGATAAGTTGAGTTAATTATTATCATTGTCTCAAATGACATTGTTAAAATAAACAAATTATTTAAAAAACACGATTTTTAGGGTAATGATCAAGGCGCTATCAGATGTGGCATTAATGCCACAGATGGTGCCTTTACAAAATGAAATTGGTGCACA